GCCTGTTAAGAGACTAAAATTGTATTACACCCATGGGCGCGTGTTACAGGATACATGCCATATCCGGTATCGCCGTAAGCCATGGTGATTGTTAATTCCCCTGTCTTCTGCAACACGTATTTTGGGTTTTATCAAAGTTTATGGAGTTTCAATGGGTAGGTTATTTATTAAATATACAAACGGTGTTGTTACACGATATAACTTTTGCCAGTCGGGCTACCTGTTGCACGATTTTGATGTTAGAATTAGTTTCCAGAGTCTCGGAAAATCAAACTTCTCACTGTTATCGCAAGGCAATTTTTATATTGGTATGAAACGTTTACGGTACTAATCGTGGTTTGCATCCCGAGTCGTCCTGTGATCGTTTGATTCGTTAATTTTACCACTGACCTTGATCTTACAATCAGACTGATGCCTTTAAATATGTAAGAAGTTTCCTTCATTATTCAGCTCCTTCTGGTTTTTGTAATAATTATTGTTATTTTCTCGTACATAAATAGGATGTAAGATTTGGAAATGTCTATAAGAATTATTTGCATTACGATCATCATCCTACCAATTTTTGTTCAATTGATGAATTAAGAGTTCAAATATGAGTTACTAGAAGATAATTTAGTTTTCACAACGATGGAAGTTAAAAAACGGTATTTCTATCCAGATTGGTTACCGAGTTTACATGTGAGATTTGGAGACACCTTTTAAAAATTGTGTGCTGAAATACCATAAATAACCAACATATCTTGATTTATTATAGGAAATTGGAAATCTTGAGTAGATGTGAAGGTTCTGTTCTTTTCAAAATGATAGAACTGCGTGTATTAACTACGAGGCAGTGAATGAACTTGATATCCAGTCGATGAAAAATTCTATTGTTTTGCTTAGTCGTCATGATGAAATACAACCTCAGGGTCAATCAAACTTGCGTTCGTTTAATAGTGATTCCTATTCTCTTGTAAATATGAAAAGTGATTCAACAAAGAATTGCAAAGCGAACACCACACATACTCTCACGCGTTCAAAATGGAAACTCTGCAGCTTAGTATTAATATTGATACAAAATTAACGAGTATTTCAGAATTATGATTTATGATATGGTCAGGTAACTTGGATTTGCTAATGCTGTAGAAATCACGCTAAACTTCTGACATTCCCATATTCTTAAATGTGGACATATTCTGAATCAGAAAAGTACCAAACACTTAAAGTAACAACACATATTTATCACTAGCAAATCTTCAATTGATACTATAATTAGTTATTCATAATGGTTTTTAAATATCGTCATAAAGCATCGTTATGACTTACCAATCACATAATATGATTGATATATGACGAAACTATTAACTAAAATACTCATTGACAAACTGACGAACACTCTTCATTGACTGATGATGGTTTCTAGCGGTTATCTTTAACAAACAATTCTAGTAAACTCGTTATCGGTTAATTAGTTGGTAAATAGCTTGGAACTGTGTCAGCATAATGAGAGATTAGGCGACAGAATCACTTGTGCAAATCGTCAGTGTAAGCAGTTTAGAAAATCTTCTGCAAACTGAAGACATTTCTGTCAAATAACGTAGGGGGAGCTGACAAGCTATCGTCGACAGATATCACCAATTCAGAAAGTAGTATCACAAGATTACATATACTGAGTGCAAACTCAAAATTAAAGCTCATAGTGCTTCCCTATTGATAAGGTTATCCAATGTCAAGATTCAGTGATGATATTTATCACTCTTGAATACCTTTCACACTATCTGTAATAGGCACATTAATTAACCATAACCAAAGACTTATGCCCGCAAACGTTTTCTAATAAACTAGCCCTTAAAGATTTTCTGACTTATTAACCATAGACTAAAGCCTGTTAAGAGACTAAAATTGTATTACACCCATGGGCGCGTGTTACAGGATACATGCCATATCCGGTATCGCCGTAAGCCATGGTGATTGTTAATTCCCCTGTCTTCTGCAACACGTATTTTGGGTTTTATCAAAGTTTATGGAGTTTCAATGGGTAGGTTATTTATTAAATATACAAACGGTGTTGTTACACGATATAACTTTTGCCAGTCGGGCTACCTGTTGCACGATTTTGATGTTAGAATTAGTTTCCAGAGTCTCGGAAAATCAAACTTCTCACTGTTATCGCAAGGCAATTTTTATATTGGTATGAAACGTTTACGGTACTAATCGTGGTTTGCATCCCGAGTCGTCCTGTGATCGTTTGATTCGTTAATTTTACCACTGACCTTGATCTTACAATCAGACTGATGCCTTTAAATATGTAAGAAGTTTCCTTCATTATTCAGCTCCTTCTGGTTTTTGTAATAATTATTGTTATTTTCTCGTACATAAATAGGATGTAAGATTTGGAAATGTCTATAAGAATTATTTGCATTACGATCATCATCCTACCAATTTTTGTTCAATTGATGAATTAAGAGTTCAAATATGAGTTACTAGAAGATAATTTAGTTTTCACAACGATGGAAGTTAAAAAACGGTATTTCTATCCAGATTGGTTACCGAGTTTACATGTGAGATTTGGAGACACCTTTTAAAAATTGTGTGCTGAAATACCATAAATAACCAACATATCTTGATTTATTATAGGAAATTGGAAATCTTGAGTAGATGTGAAGGTTCTGTTCTTTTCAAAATGATAGAACTGCGTGTATTAACTACGAGGCAGTGAATGAACTTGATATCCAGTCGATGAAAAATTCTATTGTTTTGCTTAGTCGTCATGATGAAATACAACCTCAGGGTCAATCAAACTTGCGTTCGTTTAATAGTGATTCCTATTCTCTTGTAAATATGAAAAGTGATTCAACAAAGAATTGCAAAGCGAACACCACACATACTCTCACGCGTTCAAAATGGAAACTCTGCAGCTTAGTATTAATATTGATACAAAATTAACGAGTATTTCAGAATTATGATTTATGATATGGTCAGGTAACTTGGATTTGCTAATGCTGTAGAAATCACGCTAAACTTCTGACATTCCCATATTCTTAAATGTGGACATATTCTGAATCAGAAAAGTACCAAACACTTAAAGTAACAACACATATTTATCACTAGCAAATCTTCAATTGATACTATAATTAGTTATTCATAATGGTTTTTAAATATCGTCATAAAGCATCGTTATGACTTACCAATCACATAATATGATTGATATATGACGAAACTATTAACTAAAATACTCATTGACAAACTGACGAATACTCTTCATTGACTGATGATGGTTTCTAGCGGTTATCTTTAACAAACAATTCTAGTAAACTCGTTATCGGTTAATTAGTTGGTAAATAGCTTGGAACTGTGTCAGCATAATGAGAGATTAGGCGACAGAATCACTTGTGCAAATCGTCAGTGTAAGCAGTTTAGAAAATCTTCTGCAAACTGAAGACATTTCTGTCAAATAACGTAGGGGGAGCTGACAAGCTATCGTCGACAGATATCACCAATTCAGAAAGTAGTATCACAAGATTACATATACTGAGTGCAAACTCAAAATTAAAGCTCATAGTGCTTCCCTATTGATAAGGTTATCCAATGTCAAGATTCAGTGATGATATTTATCACTCTTGAATACCTTTCACACTATCTGTAATAGGCACATTAATTAACCATAACCAAAGACTTATGCCCGCAAACGTTTTCTAATAAACTAGCCCTTAAAGATTTTCTGACTTATTAACCATAGACTAAAGCCTGTTAAGAGACTAAAATTGTATTACACCCATGGGCGCGTGTTACAGGATACATGCCATATCCGGTATCGCCGTAAGCCATGGTGATTGTTAATTCCCCTGTCTTCTGCAACACGTATTTTGGGTTTTATCAAAGTTTATGGAGTTTCAATGGGTAGGTTATTTATTAAATATACAAACGGTGTTGTTACACGATATAACTTTTGCCAGTCGGGCTACCTGTTGCACGATTTTGATGTTAGAATTAGTTTCCAGAGTCTCGGAAAATCAAACTTCCCACTGTTATCGCAAGGCAATTTTTATATTGGTATGAAACGTTTACGGTACTAATCGTGGTTTGCATCCCGAGTCGTCCTGTGATCGTTTGATTCGTTAATTTTACCACTGACCTTGATCTTACAATCAGACTGATGCCTTTAAATATGTAAGAAGTTTCCTTCATTATTCAGCTCCTTCTGGTTTTTGTAATAATTATTGTTATTTTCTCGTACATAAATAGGATGTAAGATTTGGAAATGTCTATAAGAATTATTTGCATTACGATCATCATCCTACCAATTTTTGTTCAATTGATGAATTAAGAGTTCAAATATGAGTTACTAGAAGATAATTTAGTTTTCACAACGATGGAAGTTAAAAAACGGTATTTCTATCCAGATTGGTTACCGAGTTTACATGTGAGATTTGGAGACACCTTTTAAAAATTGTGTGCTGAAATACCATAAATAACCAACATATCTTGATTTATTATAGGAAATTGGAAATCTTGAGTAGATGTAAATGTTAATTTCAAAAAATTTCAGCTTTTTGAAAATTTCGAGGCTGTCTGCAGTCACTTCCTGAAATTTCTAATGAGACTACGAAGATTTAACATTTCCTCTAAAATTTAGGACAGTGGGTTGATTATAATTTCATTCTCGATTACAAATGTGACGCATCAAACTGACATTTTATCGTTGGTGATAAAATCATGGGGAAACATAACAGAAAAGATCATAACCACATTTAATTCACGCCCACGCACCCCAAAAAGGGGAAATATAGGGGTAAATGCTTTGTGGCGAAAGGGGAAAACGCGCGAGAATGTCGCCTGTCCAGGGGGAAATAATGCGGATTTTCCGACTTATCGCCTAAATATCCGCCGAATTGCCTATTTATGCGCTTAATTGTCTACTTTTCGCCTAAGTACACACATTCCCTTTTTTTCATCCATCGACAGAACCCCAAAGGTCTCCTATGATCGCCTTTATTTTCAACAACAGACCAAAATATATCTGCAATGCAGTGGAAAAGCGTAAAAATTTTTTAAAAATCTTATTTAAAAAGAAAAGCGTATTATTGTACAACAGTAGAGCACAAGCGTAAGCATCGATTGTTATGCATATGCAATGCAATTGCTAATTCATTGCTATTTGAAATTATCTGAAAAAGAAGGAACAGGTTATATTTTATTCATAAAAAATGTGCATTTAATCAAAAGTTCACTGAAACTCAAACACACATTCTCAACACTCAACAGTTTCCCATGTAAGTAAAAGAGTAAGCTGTTTGAAAGCATAAGGTTTATTGAAATCGAGGTAGAACATCAAAACAATTGCACGGACTATTCAGAATTGAGGTAGTCGTCCTGTGAATTCTGAATTTAAAAAAAGCAAAAAAAAGTCACAACCATATCTCAATGACATGCTTTTACACAGCCAAATACTTGGAGCTGAACTTACGGTTATGTTTGTTAGTATTGTTGACTGTAACTTTAGAGCCGTAGGGAGGTTATCACTTTAAATTAGTACATACCTGATTTTCTTTTCTCCTATTTCGTTTTATCATCTTGTCTCGGATGTCGTGAAAGTAACCTTGTGTCGCGATGTCGTAGAGCTTACCAAGGTCCTTTTCGTTGACAGAGGATGACAAAAAGCGATGAGTTAAGGCACCTGAAGTTTAAGTAATAGATATAGGTTACTTCATATGCAACTGTAAAACGTGCATTTCTGTAGTGCTCGTTTTGAAGAGGTGCCAAGTAACGTGAATTTACTGGCAACCTCCGGTGTCAGCAGATGCGACAGAACAAAACACATCGACGTTTTTGGATCGTCACCTGATAACCTAGTGACCATTGCCATCTGTAATAGTAACAAATTAATAAATTTATGCAAATGACTTACAAATCTGTCCCTGGTTTCTTTATGCGACAAACCAGTATCTAGCATCCGTAGTTCCTCTTCAGATGACAAAGGTAACTGCTGACTCGACAGTCCGCAGTCTTTCGCGCTTATTAGACTTTGAAAGCAATTGGTTTACATTAACATTCAAGTCCATAATGGCGGATGATAAGTTGTTAATCGTTTTAGTCAAGTCATTGATAGCTGACGACATGTTCAGCACCGCAGTATACAACCTATCACAGCTGAAAAAGGTCACTAGATGATGCAGGTTACTTACTGGTCCACTAAAGCGCCACCAACATGCTCACATTCCGATGTGGATGGTGATGTCTCTAATTGTGTCGAACTAAATCGTGAATATCTAAATAGTAATTAAACGTACTTGGCGATTGGCGAAATCAGTTTGTCGAAAAGACGGAATTTGGGATATTGTACGCGGCTATTCCCAGCCTGCATCTCAGCCACATCCATGTCGACTGAATTGTAAAGAAAATCTTCCTTACGCTTTATTACACCTCTAGGAAATGTAAGTAAGATTATTGTACAAACCTCTTTGGCTTCTCAGTGTTAAGTGGCAAAGTGTTTTCATCCGTTGAGGTGTTTTTTCGTTGAGATTCCAGTATCTGTAGGGCAACTAACAGATCTTTTGCCGACTGCAGAGAATCTATAGTGAATTATACTTTCTATGTATGTAACCTACCCAATTCGTGAATCACTTTACATTTCATAAGTGACCAATTTTCATTCGGTTGGTTGCACTTCTGAAGGTGTATATCGACCAGCTCGTTCGGAAAAGCGCAGAGTTCCTTGCCTACTATCCACTCCTTTGATGCTATCATAAGTTGTTTTTTTCTGAGGACGTCAACAATGACGTACTTCTTGTTAGTCGAAGTACTTTCATTACAAATGACTTCTCTCTTTACTTCTATCAATTAAGTAAACAACATTGTTAAACTCAGTTACCTTTTAGGGTGCTTTCTTTAGCAAACTCACTGAACGAAAGGAAGTGATATTTTTTCATGAAAGCAGCTTTCATTTTATTCCATCTTCTGTTATAAGTGGATCTATGACAGCCAAGGGAACGTGACAAGTTAACAGTGGCCCTACGTCTACGAACATTCTCACTGACTTCAATATAACTCATAGTATTGGCCTTACAAGGTAATCAGTTACAATGAACATGAAAATCTGAGAGTACGTCACTCACCTGCATCACGTAAGTTTTTAGTGATGGCTCCAAAGCATGTCGGAACACTTTAGCTAAACAACAAACGAAGTCACTCTATATGCGTATCAACCGAAAGCCTGGTTCCGTATTTTGTACATTGTTTCTATGACAATACTTTTGTTTTTTTATTAAGCGGTGCCTAAATTTGTCGAAGTTTATGAAAACTTCAGTTCCGGATGCGGTTCATTCAAACACTGTACGTTACGTAGAACTGTCGACAAATTTCCCCCAAATACACGACGTAAGAGGGAAAAAGCGACATTTCCCCTAAATAACCGACGTAAAGGCGAAAAAGCGACATTTCCTTTTATTTACCCTTTCGTCCGCTTTATTTCCCCTTTCTTCCCCTTTATTTCCGCTTTTTGTGTTGCTTGGGACAATCAACAATTCATTTTATCAATGGATTGATAAGCAGTATACTGTGCTTCATTCTAGGGAATATACATTTTCAGACTTTAGAATTGTTAAATGTTTTCCGTTCGCCTTCTAAGTAGCATTTAATCTGCTTTTTATACTTGTGGATAAGGTGTTGACAACTTATCTATATGAGATCATCGTTATGGTTTCAAATAACAGTGAACTTTCAGATTGACCACCACTAGTTAAGTCACTTGCAGTTAAGGCCGTATCACCAAGAATTGTTTGCTCACACTGTTACTTACAAGTTATGTATCTCATCATGTACTACCGTCAGACCTCATCCTTACTTCTTTTTTGAAAGAACAAGTGACAATAAATACAAGTTAGTGAGCGCATAACACATGTTCATAGTATTCGTATTAATTATTGTACTGTGCTACATTACACTTATCTACAAATAGCACTTCAGACTACTTATTATACGTTCCACAAATTATCGATACAGTGAATTTTGGATACGTTTTGTGTAGCTACATGGCACTGTAATAGGTTCAGAGATCATATTTTGTCCAATTTGGCTTACGCATCCCATAATATAGACGTAGTAAAATTCCAATGCGTTATGCGGTTCTTAATTTTCACTTATTGTAAAGCATTCATTTTTTAGCAGGATGGTGTAAATAGAGAAGTGAAGAAGTCATGGCGGACAACCGAAACTATTTCTGGCGACGTTGTTTCACTTAATGCAGCTTTTAAACTACTAACATCTAGTTTAGATCATTCTATAGACCACAAGATTTCGTTTGATATATGAGTTGCTCCAATAATCCCTACTGTTTCAAAGCTACTGTAATTTAAACGTAAATTCTTGTGCTCCGTTTTTCTACACTAAAACTTAATTTGAACATAACTGTAGTTTTCTTATAGTTTATGCTTTCTGGTCGTGTTAGTTATCTATTTATAACTTTCTACATTCATCCTAATCAGTAGTAAAACGAGTAATATTCTAATTTACTATACTTTCCTCTCTCGTTTGCCAACTAATCAGGTGGTAGAAGAGATTTCGTCTCTGCTGAATACTTAATTTCTATTCGCCCCCGCGCATTTCTGGTCTCAAGGTTGAACAAATCAGCATATCGCGTCAAGAACATAATGTGTTCAGCATCCAATGTTGAAAACTTACAGGGCTATTTATTTTGGGGATTTATTTACCTCTAAAACATGTTATCATGTTTCGCATGAAACTTCAGGGCTCGGTTGTTGCGATCCACAAGAGTATATACATACAAACGTGGAATGATTCGTAAATGTATCATACACTATAATTCTGTACAAGCTGTTCCGTTACAACAATAAAAAAGTTACGGATATTACTGAATATTATATAGATTTCTTTCATCTTGGTATCTTAGGTGGGTTTTTTACGATACATAAAGGTGCGGTTTATGTGCTGGGAGTCGCATAATTTTTACATTTATGAGCCAAACAGGTCGTCATACATAAATGGATCATACTTCGCTAAGTGAAAATTACGTTAACTGAAAATCATAACTTGTGAGAGTTGATAATGGTTATTTTTGCTTGGTGGAAGAACTAGGAAGAAGATCTATCACCATTTAATTAACAGGAACTTGAATGTGACCTGTTGGCTTAAGTAAATGAGGTCAATTTTTATGCTCATGAGCTTAATGACACTCATTTTTTCTAGACTATAAACTGGTAAAAGGACATTTCTTTAACCTAGTGCTACACTCCGCAAGCAAAAATGATGATATTTTATCCCATTTAAATAGTTTGCTTGAAATAACTCCTTTGTGAATACACCGTCTTTTCTGAACATGCTGGATTGTACATCCATTCCGTTTTGGCATAACTGATGTGATTGAGGCAGTCATGAAACTGTATGGTGTTGTATTGTATTTGATGCTCATATCGTAAGTATGTGGTGGCATTGGGCCCTAACACAATCGAATTTTACTTATGTAAACCCATTATTCCAATAGTCCTCTGGTTAATTCTCACAGGTATTATCGTAGTGTCATATTGATTAGTTCTCATAACTTACTAGCTCGATCGATAATAAAAATTGGTGATCTATATTGATTATTAACTTTGATGGTTCATTAGCAAGCTTTAATAGCATTTACATGCTTCAGTGAAATAAACTTGTTTAAACATTAAGCTCTAGCAAATATGACCAATAAATAACCTAAATATACATTGACTTACGACGTAAGCAATGAATTAACAGTTATCTGGATCTAATTGTTTCTTCACTTGCGCCTCATTCTGTTATAAGCTATGCACTATCCTGAAATACATTTTCTTCCGACCACTGCCTGCCTAATTTTCAATTGCTGAGTCCTAAGGCCAAACAGAGGATACTAATGCCAGAAACTTGCTGTTAGTTTGAACCATAAATTTCCTGCAATTTTAGATCTTGCTTACACTATTCATCAGGCAATGCTACTTGTTTGGCTTCAATTAATCTTGGACTTATACAAATCCAGTCTTCAATGCAAGGTTGATCCAAGAATTTAATCAATAGTACCTAGTATATAATCCAGATTCGAACTACTGTCTACTTCAAATTTTCATTACTTCGAAGCAAAAATAACCCAGGCGAGTTTTACATTCTTCCCTTTTCTGGTTAGTTTACTATGCGTTTAGCACTTCTTAACTTACATAGATTTTTTCCCTTGGACTGATTGTATATATTTTATACGAACCACTCTCAAGACGTTTTGGTAGAAATATTTAATACTTTTATACTACAACACACTATTAAGAGAAAGCATGTTGTTTAAAGACATTTCTTAGTTACAGTTGCTTTTGGAACATATTAGTAAATATCACTAGGCTAAATGCAGGATCTTCTTATGGAAAGTTTGTAACACGTCGTATTCCTGCCTAAATTTCCATTAGTAGTCTCAGCTTCAAAATTACTTTTCTGCTCATTTTCACTATTGTTAAATTGTCATATACCCCAATAACCTGCGTGTTAACCTGGCCCGTACATGCGTTGCATTTTATCTCTATGTCTTTTAGATTTGAAATTCACCTTAATCGCCTTTAACATTTCTCAATAACCCCATCATAGTCTTTATCGCTTTGTTTGGGTTTATGAATTGGTCTACCATATTAGCAACCTAAAAAGACGAACGTTGTTTAAATAATGAAGTTACACTGGTATAACTAAACTATCAGGAAGTTGTTGGACAAACAAACATTTAAAGTCAAAACTCCGGAAGCCACTACTAAAATTAACACTAGACGAATATTTTTTAATTGAAATTTATAATATAATTCTTTACCGCTACAACCTTCTGTTATTTCAAACGCACACAAAACAACAATACCTATTTTCAACTGGCTACTCCTCAACCAACACTATAACTAATTAAACACAATGGTTCCATGATATCGTCATAAAGCATTGTCGCAACTTGACAATCACGTAATATGATTAATAAAATTGATGAAACTACTAACGAAATCGGTCAACAAATTGCCTTGTAATCATCATAAAATAGTGTTGTTTTCTCGATATCTTCATCCACAACAGATTATTACAATAGGTTTCTCAGTCGGTTGTTCATCCAGTAAATATCTTAAAAACTTGTCAGCCTAATTGGAGGTTTAGCGACACAATCATGCATGCAAATAATCAGTATAAGCAGTCGAGCAAATTTCCTGCGAACTGAAAACACTGTAAATTCACCCTAACACTGACTAAGGTTCAAGCCATTATGATAGACGTGAGTTGGGAGTGTACTCCCTTTGCTTACAACTTATGTTCTCCCTGACAATCACATGAGCATCACTCACTGTTAAGCATTCTGTAAAGGTTTATTTAGCCGAAGACATATTGCAGCACCACATCACCTATAATTGTGGCACATAGGCTTAGTTGATTTCAGCAACTTTGTTCAATGTATCTCAATTAAATCGTAGTCTGCCTTATGCTTAACTGCATCCTTGCAACTAACTTGTATGCACTATCAGCCGGTAGCTATAAATATAGATAAATAGTCTGTGGCAAATCAGAACATTGAGTCTAGAGCATGTCTCTTACGAATACACTCATGTTTAACGAATTCAGTCATTCAGTCAACTACATCGTAGGACCAGGCACATATATGTATAGATATAGTACAGGAAGAAAGAATTAGTTCATAGAAAGAAATATATGAGGCGATTTTAATCTACTAGTTTAAGGGAAGACAGAGAGTGTATACACCGACGCCATTGTGATCTATTCTGAGCCATGTCACCAAGAGTCTCCAACCATTGGTTACGATAGTCACGTGGACTCCAACCAAGTAGTCTGCATCTACCAATATGGCTAAGACTAGAAGTTAGTGACTTCAAACACTGATGCCACGTTTCGGTCTAACCACCTCTAACTTTCTTCCAACCATTCCATACACTACTCAACATTGCGTGTCGTGGTAATCGGTGTTCGGGCATACGTAACACGTGGCCCATCCATCTCAGTCGATGAGGATTCACAACCTCATCAATTGATTTACCATCATTCCCTAATACTCTGTGTCTAACCTCACTATTACTTACCCGGTGATCCCAGCAGATGCCAGCAATATTTCTAAGGTATCTTCTACTCTTAATTAATGACCATGTTTCGCTGCCGTAAAGTAGAACGGAACGAACTGCTGCGCAGTATACTC